TCTCTCTCTCTCTCTCTCTCTCTCTCTCTCACTCTCTCTCCAATATGGATGTGTCAGCAAATTGTTTGGCAAAGTTTTCGATGTAATACAAGTGCCGTAAAGTCTCTTTGCAGATGAAATTGCACTAAATTCTTAAAGTAAGTGAAACTATAAATACTAAACAATTCAATAAATATAAACCTTTAAAGAAAAATGTCATTATATAAAACTAATCATTAATGTATAAGTTATTGTTAAGTTTTGTAAATAAACTAATAGCTATAAGAAATCAATAAGTGTTCAACACTTTCACATAAATATCATATAATTTGTAAAATAAAATTCCTTTTTTAATATTCAAAACTATAGTTAATTTTTAGAATTTAGAAAATTGTTTAAAAATATTGTGTGTAAAATAATTGTTTGCACTTTAACTCAATCATTATATTGTTATTTCTTAAAAATTGAACTGAAAATTTTAAATATCGAAATTTTTATTCAAATAACACTTAAAATAAAATAAAGATAGTAAATATTGTTGATGTCTACTGTGTATTGACATAATATTGAATTTTTCACAACTGCTTATTTGAATGGTATTCACAATGGACTCAATGTTCAAAAAGATTCCGACAGTTTCTATCGATACTATGTTTATATTTATTAAGACTATAATATAAGTGAATAAAACTTTAACTTATTGTAAATATAAAGTCCTTTAAAGTTTTCAGATATATTTTGTAAATGTATTTACTTTGAATAATTGTATAATTTTGGGAGGTTTTACGATTAAAAACTTATTCACTTGTCTAATATATTCTCAACATTTAATTTAGTAAAAACATAGAAAATTAAGATTAACAAAAGATAATTAGAAAATTCAATGGATTCTTAAATACTAATATAAAATTCAATCAACAAATTGTTATGCAATCTTAAATTACATATCACTTACATTCAGATTATGATAAATTTCATACAATGTTATATTTCATTGAGTTTATAACAAAAACTTACAGAAATATAGCATATATTGATAAATTTCATACAATGCTTGTCATAAGCAATACGTGCTTAAGTGGACTAAATATTTATTGTATGAATTATTTGCATTTCTGGGATTCAATTATTTGCACACAAAAAATGTTTTTTGTTATCAAATTTTTAATATTCTTGAACCAGTGTTTGATAGCAAATATACACACAAGTGATTGAATGAGATTTAAATGCATCGCTAAAAGTAGTGGCTCGGGGTTATTCAAAGAGATTCCAATATTTGTCCCACATGATTTAACAACTTATAACATATACAGTACTGTACATTACATGTAATATCATGTATTATTAAACTAGCACAATATATAGGCCCATATGCAAAAGTAGATACAGTGTAATACTTGGTAAATTTGTATAAAAGTCTTACAGCGCAAATGATCAAGTTTTAATGTAAAGATTTTAATCCAAATTCAAATACTGTAATGAGAATAAATAAATAAAAACTATAGGACTGACCGGATATGCCTTCGTATGTCCACCAGGAGTCCCAATCGGCGACTACATAAGCGGCCAAATTAATTACAATTAATATAATAATACACTCTATTGTTAAGGCAAACCAATGGTGATTAGGTTTGAGTAAATGCATTGGATGTTACTTTCTGTAATGGAAACATTGTTAATACAGATTAAAATGATTAATAAACATATGAATATCTTACGATTTAAACAATTTTCATATTAAAGCAAATAAATTAAGTTTAACACAAAAATTAAACAAGAATTTCATAGACATATCGACCAAAATATACGCAAACACATAACAAATGTGTGTAAATACCCAAAAATATAGGTAACTGAATGAAAGTTTTAAAATTAACAAAATATATACTTAAAACTAATTATAAAACAATGAAAACTATGATTACAATAAATGTTTGATACTTTAATTATAAGTGTTGTGAAAAAGCAAATATTTGATCACAAAATAATAGATAATAGACAACGATTTGACGGTACACTGCAAACAGAGAAGCGATTTTTCAGTACAAAGTAAGTAATGCATCCGTTTTGAGTGCCGGTGCCTACGGATGGATCAATTGAAAGTCCACATCAAACCACTGGCATAGTCTCTGCCATAGACTCTGCATTATATTGAGTCCTCCCCTCTTAAGCTCAGCGCCTTTACTCCCAATGATATGCGCGAGTCTTAACATTACAGACACAACAGTATTGTATTTGGGATTAAATTTTAATGATTTTTAAGTCACAATCGTATCATTAAAAGACAGTTTGGTTGCCATATATTGATGCCAACGATAATAATTGAAAAACTAATTTAAAGTTAATTAAGAATTTAGATAAAAAGAGCAGATTATAACGTTTAAAGCGTTCACAATATTCTTTACGATTTTGTCACTTTTTTGTTGGCTTTTATACAGTATTTGAAAGTGAATGCAAATTCTAACTGCATTTTAATTTCTTAATTAAAAAACATAAAAAACCAATTTTCAAACCCTTTCACGTCCTTCTCTACCAGTAGTCATAGATCTATGACAAGAAAATTAGTGATATTTTAAAGCAAACACAATATTGATTAAAATACTTTCATTGTTTTATTTATTATTCACATTTTTATAACTATTGACTATTAATTGATTTTTAAATATGAGATTTGTGTTGAATATAATGATTATACAGTAATAATGTTAATTTCTCTAATATAATATAACAATAATAAAACCACTAATAATAGTCGTTTCCATTCGTAATAGATGTGGAATCGCAAGAATCGGTAGAATCGGGACTAATTCGGTTGTGATCACTGCTATGTGGACTCAATCTATACAGATGTCCGCTGTATTGATACGTGTCTTCGGGTCTCACTTTATAGTAGTCAAGGAGTCTGAAGAATGTATTGCCGGTCAATAGGCTATCACTGCCGGCCTGATGGGGAGCGCCGTATCGCCGAACATCCAACTGAAGGCTTTCCTATAAGACATTTACAAAGACATGAACCAAACGGCGGGTCAGAGGGACGGGAGGACTGCTTACGTCTTGTAGACTTCCGGCGTATCCCTTAATACAATTCAACACCAGTTTTATGTCATAAACAACCGGAAAGAAAATGGACAACAATTCGGTGAACTCTTGCAAAGTGGAGGGCAAACACTCGTCCGTCAATATCTTCAACAAATAGCCGAAGTCGTAACAGCCATCGAATGAGATCCAGCGGGTGCTCTCGTTAAGGACCAGACCAGAAGTGGTCAGCAGTTCCGCGAAATCGGTCGCATCGATGCCATCGGCGGACGCCATTCGGTCGAAGTTGAGGCCACTGTTGACGAGCAGATCGATGGAGTCTTTGGCGAGTTTGTCGCGATTCTTGTCAAACCTGAAGTTGAATTGCCAGGTGTTCACACCGGGAGGCGTCCGGCCCTTCGCGTAATTAGAGATAACAATGTCTATACCACTCGACCATCACATGAAGAGCACAAGAATGGAGAATAAGTGAAGTTAAAGAATAAAAATTGAAATGAAATGAATTGATTGTAACGATTGAATGCCAGACACAGAGGTTTCCAGAGGTGTGAGGAGTTTGTTATACACACTTTGGTTCCTTTGTCTTGAAAATGTTTTACATATTACATGATGGAATTACACGATGGTCATATTCTTATAATTTGTTGTTTATAATGAAATTGTGATTAAGCAAGGTCGTTTAATTTCATAAATTGTAAAACCCCTGATCATCAATGTAAAGTATGAAATGATGGCAAATAATAATGTATTTGTGAGAGCACTACACAATACTTGAGATACTTATCTTTTTAAAAGATTTATTATTTTGTAGTTTTTATTATTTTTTGTCAGTTATTGTAAATTACAACCTATCATATCATAGAGTTATATTGATTAGGTATCACTTTCTATAACAGACCACACAGTGATAGACAAACAGAATACTGTGTAGGAATTGTACAGTATATGATACTAATAAGTTAGTAATACTATGAGTATATTATAAGTTAATTATATGTACAGTATATAATAAATTCTTAAATAGTAAAGCATGTAATAAGTTAAAGAATCTGTCTCTCTCTCTCTCCCTCCCTCTCTCCATTTTTAAAAAAATTTCCTTATATTTTAAAAGGGTTTGAAAACAATTTGAGTATAATATATATCATAAACAACTTAAGTGTTCATTTGGCTTAAAATTTTAAGGTTTGGGAATGTCATAAATATTTCATTTTTCTCAAAATATTTATGTGAAAACTATTATTCTCTCTCTCTCTCTCTCTCTCTCTCTCTCTCTCTCTCTCTCTCTCTCTCTCTCTCCATTTTTAAAAAAATTTCCTTATATTTTAAAAGGGTTTGA